GAGGATAAAGAGCCATGAATTCAATTGACTCCCACACAGTTGCCTGAAAGGCCTCTGCCCCTCCCAGGCAGTTGGTTTTAACACTTAGGTGGAGAAGGGATCAAAGGGGGGTGCAACTGGATCTACCCCTGGGCATATCACAAGGCCTATGCACCAGTTAAATCCCATTTAAGCCCTCAAAATAGGGCTTAAGTGATGTGACAGGTTGTTGGTCTTCATTGAATTTTAATCTGAAAAGCTACATGGCAACAACAGGGATCATCTCTGCTTACTACATAACTGACCATTCATTTCATATATAGGAAAAGGGCCTTGTTATGATCATGGGATAAAAAGCTTTAGCTTGCACCAAAAAGTTTGGAGCAGGTAACTGTGTAATATCCCCTTGTTCGGGATAAATGTCAAAAGCAGCTAAATCCCTTTAAAATATGTAGCTGAAACAATAGGAGCCATGACTCGGGCAGGGGCCACATGCAAGGCCACTCAGGAATCGGAGTGGTGTAAGCAGAGTAGGACTGTGGGCTGCACACAATCTCAGGAGGCTGGATATGGTTCAAGTAGAGCTGGGTGTGTAGGGAGAAGCAGCAGCAAAAATACCACGGGTGCATAGAGGGCAGGCAGCAAGAAAGCCCAAAAAACCCCCAGAGAAACACTTCTTGTGTAACGCTCAGAGGAAGTCAAGGGAGAGTACTTTGTGGTAACGTGCTGCCTGAAAAATGGCTGGGAATCATAAGTAAAGAAATTGTCTATGGCTGCTTGATTCCTACAGTGTCCAAGGAACAGGACTTCTAGGTATAAACACTGTAATAAAGAACTGTGTCAAAAAACTCCTAATTTCTACGTACTAGAAACTTCCTACAAGATGCTGAACATTGGCTATTTGAGTCAAAAAGGATCCCAGTGGTTTGTTATTATTTAACTTGTATGGTGGTGGCATGCGGGAGCCCCGGGCACGAGCCAGGACCATACGAAATCGCTGTACAAACCCAGAACACAAAGATGGCCCCTGTTTCAAAGGGCTCCTATACACATGCAGTGAGTATGATGCACTGATCATGCTCTGATGCACTGTAATTACAATGTGTCAGAACAGACTCAATTAATCAGGTGGTAATTACCACGCTCCACCAGATTCCAGCGTCACTTGTATCAGCGTCCCCATGCTGAAAAATAGCACTGGGGGCGCTTTAACTAAAGCTTGTTGAATGAGCTTTAATTAAAGCGCCCCTTCCACTATGTTTCAGCGTGGGGACGCCAATACATGTGATGCTCCAGGTACTTTAATTAGAGCTGCTGCAAGAGTGCTCTTAATTAGAGCACCCCACCACACACACACTCCCAGATCATGTGTATAAACACCCAAAGAGCTGACAGTATCACCTTCCCAAAAGCAGTTGCTATCTATGCCCAAGAATGGGTTGGTTTCTTTGCAAAGGGGATGGGAATTCCTTACTATTATTATTAATATGAGTCTGTAAATTTAGAGTATGGCCCCCAACATATCTGCTGACCCAGGGAGCTGGTAGGTGAGGCTAGGCTGGGTAGAGGGAGTCACCCAACTCAGGAGGAAGGCTGGGTTTAGGGCAAGTATAAGCCCACCCCAGCAGGAGGACTGCAGCTCTGAAGCACCAACACAGAGAGGACACCAAAGCAGTCTGGAGCTTTGGGGAGGAGCTCGGGGGAGGAGGAGGTCCCTAGGGACCCAGGTAAGGGTCTGGAGCCCAGATTGAGGGGCTGAGCATGTGGGACCGGACAGGGTCCAGGAACCGCAGGGCGGGGAATAAGTGAAAGAGAACATCAATGAGGATGCCATCTGCAAGACATGGGTAATGGTGTAGGGGAGGAACG